CACGCCCAGAAGATGAGGCTGAGTTCTCTGTGGTTTGGCACTTCTCAGGCAGGGGATGCAAAAGAGCTCCGAATTTCACCACGCCGATAACTACGCAACAAGAAACAAACCCATAAGCGAGCCGGTGGGAAAAACACAATAGAAGAAGTGGATTCTACACCATGCAGGAGAGGTTTCCTGTCGCACAGATAATTCAGCCTGTGCGGAGGAAGTGAAAGACAGAGGTCGCTAGGAAATGGTCTTCCAATGGCCTTCCTGAAGAGCAGTGGTACGTTTGCGGGGAAACCTCACTGGATGAATCCCACCCACCGCAGCTACAGTTGCCAGATCTGGATTAAGAAATTCCTGGCTATTTGGGGGTGGAGCCTGGAGGGGGTGGAGTTTGGGGAGAAAGAGGGATGTGGTACTATAGAGTCAGGCTGTGGCTCAGCTGGGAGGGGTTGTGGCTCAGTGATAGAGCATCATCTTGGCATGCAGAAGGATCCAGGTACAATCCATGGCATCTCCAGTTAAAAGGACCAGGTAGAAGGTATTGTGAAAGATCTCATCTGAGGCCCTGGAGAGTTGCTGCAAGAAGGAGGAGGAGGAGGAGGAGGAGGAGGGTGGATATATACTCCGCCCTTCACTCAGAGTCTCAGAGTGGCTTACAAACTCCTTCCCTTCCTCTCCCCACAACAGACACCCTCTGAGGGAGGTGGGGCTGAGAGAGCTCTTCCAAGAACTGCTCTTGGGAGAACAGCTCTAAGAGAACTTGTGACTGACCCACGGTCACCCAGCAGCTGCATGAGGAGGAATGGGGAATCAAACCCGGCTCTCCAGACTAGAGTCCGCTGCTCTTAACCACCACACCAAAGTGGGTCTCCAACCTTGATGGACCAAAAGTCTGATTCAGTATTAGGCAGCTTCATGTGTCCATGTGCTCACCTTCCAAAGCAGCCATTTTCTCCAGGGGAATGGAACACCATGATCCAGAGATCAGTTGTCATTCTAGGAGAAATCCAGGCCTCACCTGGAAGCCGGAGGCCCTAATGTCAGCAGATACACACAGCCAACATAGAAAAAGGCTTTCCTTCGCTGCCACCATGTCCTAGTAGATAACGACGTATTTGCATCTGGAAAACAGAATTCTCTCTCCTCCATTTTCGTCTAAACGACAGGCAATTGCCCCAGGCACAAAGAACAGTCAGCCATCGAATTCCTGTTTTACATGGATACAGGGAAAACCCAGGTTCGTCCTGAACCTACTGCCCATCAGCTTCATTGAATGTCCTCAAATTCGAGTATTTTGGAGGAGGGAGAAAAAAATTCTCTTTGTCATCTCTCTCTGCCCCATGCATCATTTTATAAACTTCTATCATGCTCCCCTTTCGTCGTCTCTTTTCTAAACTGGAAAGTCTTGGACTCTTCAGCCTTTCCACATAGGGAAGGTGCTCCAACCCCCTGATCATCTCAGTTGCCCTCCTCTGTACTTTTGTATTTATTTATTTTATATGCTA